GAAGAAAGTGAGAATGAGGAAGAGGTGGACAGTGTTGCCAGTAAGAAAGTATCACATGGTGCTGCGCTTAATCATTTGGAATCCTTACTAGACTATCTTGAGAGTGAAGAGGACAGTTTATTAAGTGACAAGCTAATATTACGTAGGCTTCGTACGGATATCCGTAAAAAGGAAAATGCCGCGAAAAAGCAAAAGACAGTATTAAATTATTTTAAGTGTTAAGTGTGACCGTAAAAAGTGCTGGATGTTGTTGAACAGTGATTGAAATAACTAATTCATACTGAGTGTAATGTAAAGAAAGTATTAAATAGGCCATGAGATGACATAGAAATGAGGATGAATAAATTTAAATACAGGTAGGTCTATAGTATTATGAAGGTATTAAAAGGTAAAAGGTAAAGTTGTTCCTCTGCTCAACGAATTAAGCCCTACGCCATTAAGGCGTGTGGGGGAGTGGATGTATAGATCCAAATTTTCTTGACCTCGGCACTAGTTGGAGGTGAGTGGTCAGCTTCACGCCCCGGCCGCTTTACCCCCGGGGAAAGAGCCCCCGGTACCCATTGGATAGGAGGTTGGATGGACCCCAGAGCCGGTCTGGACGATTTGGAGAAGTTAAAATTCTTGACCCTACCGGGACTCGAACTCCGACCCTTCACAGTCGTCCAGCCCGTATAATAAAATTTGGCTTAACCGGGTTTTCGATTAACCGTGGCTTCCATCCCCACCATTAGCCCGGATAATCGAGAGTTGACTGTACCATGGTTTTGACTTTCATGAAATTAGGTAGTATCAGGTATGCAGCCATGATCAACTTACCAGAATCTTGTTTGGAAAAATGGGTTGTTCCTTGTGACTGTGAAGTTGGTATTAAATTGGAATGGTTTTAAGAAAAAAACTGTCCATTTCACTGCCATTCGAAACAGTAATTATTTTGTTGCTGTTATGAAGAAGTAATGCTTACAACGTATTGTATACTGCTTGTAGGTATTCCATCAGTTCCTTATGGATTACCCTCTTGGCAAGAAGTTGGAGCGTCACCTGGCTTTCTACATTTCTCAGCTGAACTATGAAGTTCAGTCAGGGCGAGAGTCTGCTCTGGAGATGGTGCTGTCTGTTATCACCTCATTTCCAATTGTATGTACTGAAACTATGCTGTACTTTAATATAAAGCCACCATTGGCAATCATGTGAAGTAGTATGCAAGAGTGATGTGAAGGTTAGCTTCAGCTCTTTTTCATATCACAAAACTGGAAACAGTACGTTTTAAAATGTAGCAAGTTAGGAATGCACATGTAACTTAACTCTAGTGTGTTCATTCTGTTATGACCTCCAGATTTTAGTTAATCATCTTGAAAACCATAAATCTTGGAAAAAAATGTGTTGGGCCTAAAATGTATGTTTTATTTTTTCTCGGCAACTTTTGTTCAGAACATTCTTCACTGTGACAGGTATTTTGTCTTCATGTAAATTGTCTGTTATTTCTCTATGATAGTAACCAAAATTAGATTGCACTGATAAATCTGTGTGTAAGCATGCATGTGCATATATGTATAAAGTTTTGTAAATGTGGGATGACAGCTGTGACATGATGCTGTTGTGGGTTGCCAGGCAGCAGACTGAGCAGACTCCAGTTGCTGCCTGCTTTTTGCAGGTTTTTTTCATGGCTTACTCTTTGACCTGTAAGATGGAGGTGGTATGTCCCTCTAACATATCAGGCTCTCTCTGAACTGCATGGTATTATGGCCCAGAAGACCATACTTTTTGGGTGATTATGATGGTGGGTGTATTCAGCGGTGATTTTCATTAGCATTCATATCCTGAAAATCTTGTGATTTCTTTATATTTGTCACACAGTGCAAATTGTTGCATCAAATTTATAGTTTTGTTAATTTAAAAATGTTTCCGAATCGAAATTTAGAAAGTTTTCTGTTGTCTCAGACTCAGATTTTTAGACATTTGCTTTATTTTTCTGCAGGGTGTCTTGACTTCACACTCAGGTCTTCTCTTCGTTGCTCTTGGGGCTCAGCTTGTGAATGATGATTCACCAGAATGCAGAAAAATGGTTGCACGTTGTCTTGAAACTATGTTGGAAAGACTTGATAAACATGCCCGTAATCAGCTCTTTGATATAATTATTGTATGGTTCAAAGATAATAAGGTAGAGTATTACATTTTATTTTACAGAATTCTTAGTGTGAATTTGAAACTCTTGATTCATATAAGCTGTAACAGTGTATGCTGGACATTACAAAGCAAACGATGGCATGTGGCTGTGCATGAGAGGGGAATGTGAGGGGTGGCTGTTGTGTGGTGTGGGTACCACTTAACATTATCAGATGATTTGCTATGCACAAAGCCAAGCAGCAGACTGACCTGCTTCACCCTTCTGCACATCACTCAACCAAGTGGTTGAGTGCCTGAGTGCATGACATCACTTAGTATGCAAACTATGACAACGTTGTCAATTTGTCTCAGGACTGAGAGGAGGGAATTAATTGTTGAAGTTTGAGTATTTGAAAGTAACACATCTGTCCACTAAACACTGTTCCATTTCCACATCACCTTATAATAAACTAAGACTTTGTGGGCCAGAAGAATCACATGTTCCTCCGATCAAGTGAGGCTGCCAGTAATGCGCAAGTGTACTTCACAGAAGATTGTCTCGCAAATTTTCTACAGTTCCTTCTTACACCAGTATTGGTGGGTTTAGCATGCACCATTCTGTTGTTCCAGGGCTAAAAAGCAGATCTCATTTCAATGCTCTCCAAGAATTTTTATCTAAAAGTTTAGAAATTGTGAACCAGTATCAGTTTTACCACACAGAAGTTTTCCTGTGTAGTGAGAACTAACTAACAGGATTCACTATATCACATTTTTTGCTCCATATGGCTGTTTAACTTTTATAAACCAGTTTGGTACACTGTAGCTAATAGTCTAACTTGTCATCTTCACATTGTAAGTTACATTTTAATGAAGTTGGTCAAAGCAGACAGAAATTTTACAAGATGAAACATGATTTTGTTGACTCAGTGAAAGGTATTAAAGGTATTCTTAAATTTAGTTTTGGACAAGGAGACTCAGATGTATGTTTTATGACAAATTAAAACATAACAGTGTTTTGTTTTGGCGATGTACAGTAACTGATCTTCTGTTGTGATTTTATGTGCGTTGCATAAAAAGTGTTCTGAACTGTTTCCGTTTTGATAAATGTAAAACACAAAGTTTGTCTTGTCATGCATAGGTTTCTACATTACATTTGCATTCTAAAAGGCCTTCAGAATGCAGTTTCAACAGCATGTACTTTGTTCAGCCTCTAGGTATATGCATTGAAAATTTTCTTCTAAATCTGAGTGTTTTTAAGTTTTCAGTTACTTTTGTAACACTGCCTTTTCTTTCCTTCTTTTTTCCCCATATTCTTACCTGTCACCAACATTATGGCATGAATTTATTTCTCTTACATTATTTCTTGTTTTAGTTTGTAGCAGTTTGACCCAAAAGGTTTAGAAATGTTGTACAGATCAATCCATTCTCAATCTCTGTAGCATTTTCTTATAATGTCAGGCATTTAGTTGGTCACTGCTAGCATTAATAGTAACAGTAGATGTTTAGATTTGCTATTTATTTTATCAGCTGGTGGAAGGAGTTTCTTCATATTGCTTTAAATCCAATCTGCTGTACAGTTCTGTAGTGTTGCTTTCATAACCTGTACTTTATAAGAAAATGTTTTGTGAAATATTGTGCCATCTTCTCATGTTCTTTTCTATAGGCAGAATTCAGTAATGTTCATATTTATAACAAGAACCTGTGTTGGCCTCTTTCCAGCCCAGAACAGCGTTTACAACCCCAAAACCAGACACTTTGGCTATAAAGTTTGCCCATCTCTGTTGTATGTCTTTTCCAAGGTGGGCAGAGAGATCATAATGGCCAAAGAGGCCATATCTGGAGGCACTAGAAACTAGGCACATTCATATGCACAGCAAACATGTGGTAAATGTTGGTGAAATTTGAATTTGAAGTGTTTTAATAACTGGTCATTAGGTGGAGCATAACCGGTTGGCTGCGCAGCTGTGTGGAATCTTCGTTACAGTTGAGAAATCGGACTTCGAGAATCGATTGCCAAAAGTACTCTCACTCATTGTGCAACACCTTAGCTCAGATTTTACCGATGATCAACCAGGGAGATATGTGAGAATTGCACAACCAAATGATGACAGTCCAACTGAAATGGAGAAAAATGAAAGGGTGAGAGATCGCCTTCTTTTCCAAGTGCTCCAGCTGTTACGGAAAATCTGTACTTCCCATCCAGACATTCTTACCGATTCAAAATGGGAAGATGATATGGAGACTGTTGCAGGTACATTATCAGTTCTTTTTGATCCAATACAAAAATCAAAGCATAAAATTATTTCCGTTACTTACCAGATCATTGTGTTATTCTACTTCCAAAGCAGGGTCTGATTAATCTAACTTACTCCACAGAGCTCTCCCCTTGAGAAGCCAACAGTCAGCTAATCAAGAAATTCCCAAGCATTTTACGGATCCTAAAGGTTCATTGACCTCTTCAGAGGAGCCTGCCACTGGTCCCTATCCTGAACCAGATGAATTTATAAGTAACTCCACCTTTCTTTTTATACTCAGTTTTACTTTAGCCCTCTCACAAGCCACTGGATTTCCCATTGGCATTACACACATATCTTTTATAGAAAGAAGGGGATTAAAGAACCAGAACAGACACTGAGAAACAAGTATACATGCCACAGTAGGTTTAAACTGAGGAGAACTATTTGCTATTCAGGCAAAGCAGTCAACTGGGAAACAACTCAGTCATTGCTGCCAACCAACCTGTTTAAAAATAGTTGCATATCTAGTGCAGCAGAATATTTGGACACCAGGTAAAAGAAGAGAATAATCTTTTGGGTTATAATATTGTAACATGTTTGGGTGACTGGAGATAGAGTTTGGATTGTTAATTTGTTTTATTAACAACTTACAGGTCATAACTACAATTAATTATAACACTGTTACTGATTTACACCATCCATGTAATATTGTAATGTGTAGGGGGGGGGTTACGCATGACGAAAATAATGGGTTCTAGGTTGGATGATTGGATTTATTAGCTATCATTGATTTACACAATTTACAGTTAACCATTGCACTGCACTAGGATTCTCAGTTTCCACCAGTCGTCTCCTAGCAATGTATCTCAACACAAAAACTGTCACTTCAAATTACTATGAAGTCTCCTTGTCTTCAATCACTTTGTAATCCTCTGACCTAATCTGTACTAAGCCGATCTTCACAGTTCACTAAGGACATGCTTCATTTTCTTCCTTGTACTCTCAAGTGCTCCTAGCTTCTGAATTCACTCTTCCTATAAGCACTCTGCACAGATTCCATTGAAAACGTGGAATTGTGTTTACCAAGCCGTTGCCTAGAAACAGATTGCATAACCCCGCTGTTATATTGTTGTGTTTCTGTTGCTCAACAGTTGTTACATGGATTAAATATGCCAGGTATCTTGTAGTTCGAAGCTAAGCTTGCTTCCTGCTTCTGCTGGTTTCTTGCTTGGTTTACTCTGCAACCCTGAAGATGGGGATGATATAGTCCTCTGAAACAGCAGGCTTTCTCCAACTCAGATGTTCATAGTCACTGCTGTGGGAACCTCAGAAACAAATGGCAGCCTCAGTAGAAAATGTGTAATCTTTGCATCATCTCCATAAGCCCCAAGAGCAAGTTATTTGGCATGGCATTGGCCATAAGATCTTGATGGAGTGTACAGCAGGTGACTGTCATGAAAGAGTTCTTGTGTTAGTGTTTTCCTACACATCTTTCTGTTTTCTCCTCAACATTGAAGTTATTCTGTGTATACAGAGTCTAGTACATTAATGATATTTTGTGAATTGTATGTATTGCACCAGTGGCACAGCAGTGAACCTTTCCTTAAAAGCCTAAGAATCTCTTGGCTGATTGAGTGAATAATGCCTTCTCAGGAAGATTGTGCTCCTTAGAGGTGGTTGTTTATATATAAATTAAAGGTTTATTTATGAGTAAAATATTAAGAAGCGTGAAATGAATGAATGAATGAATGAAATAACACATAAAGGGCAGGGCTAGACCAGCTCTTGCACCGTGACTTGCAATGATCTATTGTGCACCCCCCTCTGTTTCAAGGCTTCAACAATCCTATACCTCAAATGAAGTGTAGTCGTTAAGAAGCATAGAAGCAGTTGTGATATATTCAAGGGACTGCCCTAATATATGCTTGAAAATACATAAAAATAGACTCCAGTATCCAGATTGAGATTCAAACCCTGACCTTTTAAAATATGACACACAAGTGCTGACCATATACCATGATATTCAGTATATAAATGTGGTATTCATCGTACATTTTATTTTGTGTTCACAGAAACTGCTCAGGGTCTTCTAGCACATCCTCATGAATGGGTCCGTCTTGCTGCTGCACAATTTCTTGGCCATATGTTTAGTTCACTAGATGTCAAGAAGGTTGCCGCAGCAGTATCTAGTCATCACAGTGTTTCTAGAAAAGAGTGTGGTTACTTTTATCATCATACGAAGCAGAGGCTTAAGTCTCTTGTCTTGGATTTCTGTGCACAGCTTCAACCATGTGATATTGGAGCTGAACTTGTGGAACAGGTGCACATTGCAGCAACTCTTGGATATTGTAAACATACATATCATTCCATATCCAGTTTGGATCAGATTCTCCTCTTTTTAGTTTTTCTTTTTTCTAACTTACTGAGACAGACAGGACTCCTTGTATGGGGGATCAGACCAACACAAGGTATCTGTCATCACAGAATAACACAGAAGAACCTGGATACTCTTGAGCAGAGTTCATTGCTACTGCTTTATGGTAACATTGAAATTGCTTCAATTGTAAAAGTCACATTGTGACTGACAGTCAGTCAGTCTGTCTTGGTATCAAGCCCCAGCTGGGGCTCATGACCAGATGTTAGTTTTTAAGCGAAAGTTACTGTCCTGTCCATGTGGAGCGCCCTCTCTGATGAGAGGTCGGGTCTGTCATTTGTCAGTCATAGTCAACAGTATCAATCCATTGTCACTATGTACACTTTTTTTTACAGTTGAATCTTAATATCTAGCATGTATAATATATACAAGGCCTCTGTCAGTCTAGGCTCAGTACAGCAGACTATGCACTATTTCTAGTAGTATTTGCTACCACGGCAGTCTAGTCACTTAAACGGTCGTATGCCTGACCACCGCCAAGTTTAAGCCTCTTATACTTTGCTTAAATTGGTATTTCCATTTTTATATATATACATCCCCCTCCACCTTATCGTGGTGAGGGGGTTTGAGTATGCCAAGGACCCTGAGAGCTATACCAGCGGTAGCGTAGCTACTGGCAGGGCCTCCCTTGCTGGACAGGTCAAAGGGTAGGCATCAGACGAAGAGAGACACCAAAAACCAAAAACTGATGCCGGAAGCAGCGTCATCAGCAGCGACTTGAAGCACAGAGCAAATGATGCTCGAGATGGTTCAAGTTCGTATAGCAACAGGCGTGACCAGAGTGGTTTGAACGGCTGTTGTACTGCGATGTGGAAAGCAAATGGAAAAACTACCACATTATCACTTTTCCTGGACAGTCTCTTTCCAAAAACAGAAGATCACATTAAGTGGAGGAACTGTTTTGGAAGAGACTGTGGACCTGTCATCTGACAGTTACTGATCAATCAATCAATATATACATATCGATTGATGTCCCCCTCCCTCCCTTTCTTTTTGATTAAATAATATTTTTGCTGCTTTTTTTCTTACTTCATTTTATTCCATCTAAACAATTTTCAGTGAGAAATAGTGCCTTGTTGACATACCAGCCCTGTACTGCTGTCCATAACCTGATACTCAAATATTTGCAGGTGGTGAAAGATTTGGTTTTCTTGGGCAGAGTGCTTAAGAATGTCTCTCTGGGAGGTCAGATAGATGAAAATGAGGAACATGAGTCAGGCGAAGAGTCAGAAGATAATCAGATTAAACTTTCATTGCTCTGGATGATTCGACGAATGAGGAAGATAGTGAACATCGAGGTAGTTCGAGCACCAAAATCAACAGCTATGGTAAGTTATGCATGCATTCTTTCTCATACTATCAGTTCAAATGAAATTTGCATTAAAATCATCTCATCTGCAGAATTAACATAGCATTCTAGCTAATATTACCTATGTGATGTAGTGATGGAATGTTTGTATGTATCAGTGTTTAACATAGATTATAATCTATGTTAAACACTGATACATACAAACATTCCATCACTACATCACATAGGTAATATTAGCTAGAATGCTATGTTAATTCTGCAGATGAGATGATTCCTTTCTATCTATCTATCTTTCTATCTATCATTCTACCTTGCCAGGATAGTGCAGTCAGTATAGCAGCTGGCTAGAGGCTGGACGACCGAGGAATTGAAGTTTGATTCCTGGTAGGGTCAGGAATTTTCACTTCCCCATGTCATCCAGACTGGCTCTGGAGTCCACCCAACCTCCTATCCAGTGGGTACAGGGGTTAAAGCGGCCGGGGCTTGAAGCAGGCCACTCACCTCCAGCTAGTGCTGAGGTCAAGAAAACATGGATCTAAACATCCACTCCCCCCTACACCTTCATGGCATTGTGCTTAATTAGTTAAGCACAGTGAAAACTTTACCTTTATCTTATTCTGCCTTGAAATTATAGCGTACAGCCGTGTTCAAGTGGATTGGTGCTATTGTTCTGGATCTGGGACGTGATGGACTTTCTCCTCTGGCAGATCAGCTCCTTGCACCACTGGTCCGTGAATTGGTGAGAACTGATGAATCAGATTCAGGGAAAGAATTGTGTCAACTGGCCAAAGAGGTTTCTGATTTAATAAAAAAGAAGTTGGGAATGGAAGTGTACATGCAACATCTTTCCCGTCTGCAAATCAATCTGGCTGCAAGGCGAGCAGATCGTAAGAAACTCCGAGCACAGGAGGTAAGTTTGGATTTTCTAGGTTGGAAAGGACTTTGGTTTCATCTAAGAGATATTCGTTTATGCTTTATCAGCCCTAAATCCTTTCAGGGTTATGATGCAAATAGTTGTGCCTTTGCTAGGCACTCCAGACATGTCGTGGTGCTATTATTGTGTGGTGTTTTAAATGTTCTTTTCTCCTAGGCATAATATTAACAATTTTTTTTAAATCATGTATATACAAAAATGGCATAGGCAATGCCCATCCAGCCCAAAATTGACAAGTCGTAAAAGCCAAGAGCTAATGCCAGCTGTTGGCTGTATCTGTACTTGTGAAGAACCATCAGATCCATTCAGAAAAATTGCCACGATTTTTTTAATATTATGAAAATACCAACCTAAGAGAGTTGTTACACTACATAATTAATTGTACATAGTTAATAATAAAGTTTTTCTTACATTCAATATCATGATTCATATTAATAGCCAGAACATGTTCAGCATTGATTAGTTGTCAGTGGGTTATTATGGAAGAGCTCTGTGAATTTTACAATGGAGAAATCGCCTCTCAGACAAAATATGCATTTTCTGAATGTGTTCTTTATCACAAAATTGAATTGTTTTAGTTTTGGAGGGAAAACTATGTGCAGTATTGACTTTAACTTAAGTGGGCTATGATGTGCTGTTAAGCATGACTAAAATGTAAACTTGGAATCAGATGTCAGTGTTATAGTATAAAAGAAAATAAACCTTAGAATTTCTCTCACATAAAAGTGACATATCTTCTCTTGAACTCTGGTGTCACTCATCAGTAAACGCATATGCTGCGTTAGAAGGTTAACAACAAAATATAGACACTAAGTGAAGAAATAGTCATCACAATATTATACGTTTTATAAAGACTACAGAACAGACCTATTGGTTAGAAAGCTAGTAAGATACAATTCTGTCAGTGAATGGGTTACATAATGAACTGTGCATGCTGTGACAATAAACCAGTGTGTCCCTTTTGGGGATGCTTTCTGTCCATTTCCTCCCATTGGCTAGGCTTGGGTTCTTTTCTTTTTCCCCTCTTCTTGGATCTCATGACTATGCTCCTAAGCCTAAACAGGCTTATTTCTGAACCTACACACTTGAACCCTGATGATGGGGACAGCATGTTCCTCTGAAACGTCTGTTTCTGCCCACAGAACTATGTCACAACCCAGAAGACCGCATACTAACTACGATTACATAAGCTGACATCAAATACAGTAGTTGTTCAATCATTATATAAAAAGACACTTTATTATGAATAGAAATAAAAATCATTGCATCTGTATTATTTTTCACTGCCTAAAAGTGGGTTTATTTTAAAATACAATTTCAATTGTTTCAGGTTTTGACTAAACCAGAGAAGGCAGCAAAACGAAAAATAAAGAAAAATTTAAAGAAAAGAGAAGCAAAGAGGAAAAGAATTGAGAGTATTAAAGGACAGAAATTCAGAAAGAAGAAGAGAAAGGAATTTCAGATAGAAGATATATAACATAAAATTCAAGAAGTGTATGAGAGCTACAGTACAGACCATGAAAATGAAAACGATGTGCGCAGAGAAAATGGTTATGTAGGAATACATATTCATTCCTGTAATTATTCTGGCTTTCATATAAGTTGATTTCATGTTTTATTGTTACATCATTATTGTGTATTGTTAATTTTTACAAGAGTTCATAATTATGCAAATATTTGTATCTATTTTTATCATTGTATACATAATAAAATAAGTTAATTATAATTAGTCTTTAAAATTTGTAGGTAAATATAATATTACCCATTTATAATGAACTGTCATTTTGAAATTGTAAGGATAGCCCAGATTCAATGGTTGAAAACCTGTTCTTTTTTTATTTCTTTTTTATTTTTATTACAATTCTTTGGTGTAGTTTCAGTTCTAGTGTACCATTTATTTTCCATACTGTGAAGATGGAGACAGCATATTCCTCGAATTTTGGATCTAACCAACATTCCAGAAGACAGTAGTCTTAGATATCTAGTTACTGTACCGTTCAAAAGTAAAATGGTTTAGTGACGGACAGAAACAAATAGAAAATAAACACACAAACTAGTGGTCTGGGGAAGAAATTAAACAGAGTTACCTGATCTATGCTTGCATGGCTTACTCTTTAACCCTGAAGATAGAGGTAGTACATACCTCTGAAATGTTGGTAAACTTCTACCGAGCTGCATAATGTCACATCCCAGAAGACAGTACTCTTCAGTGTGATAACCAGTTTAACTGCAAAATTTAATGTAGTGTCAAGCAATGAGTGTTCACATGTAGCATTTATGTAAACCATTTGTCTTGGTTACTGACATTATCGGAAGAACACGGACTGAGTGTGTTTGAGAATGAGTGCTGAAGAGAATATTTGGAGCCAGGAGGGATGAAGTGGTAGGAGGTGCATAAAGATCACACTATTTGTCAAGTGTAATTAGAATGATCAAGCCAGGGAGGATAAGATGGGCAGGGCATGTAGCACACATGTGGAGAAGAGGAATGCACATAGGATATTGGTGGGAAAGCCAGAAGGAAAGAGACCACTGGGATGTGGGAGGATAAATTGATCTTAGATAATGTGGTCTAGATTGATCTGGCTCAGGATAGGTACCAGTGACAGGCTCTAGTGGACATGGTAATAAACTTGTGGGTTGCATAAAATGTTGACATATTCTTGACTAGGTGAGCAACTGGTGGTTTCTGAAGGACTCAGGTCCATGGGGTTAGTTCATTATGTAAACCATCTGTCATGGCAAAAATGTGTATCTTAAGTTACAATACTGTTTTTACAGTGCTGTATAAAATACAAAATAACAGTATGTCAGTAGTTTCATTCATCATACTTAATGGTGAATAAACAAGGAAGTACAGGGCATGTGATGGTTTTTTTAAACAAATTCTGAACATGTTGGATATGAGATTCTCACAGGGGTGACAGAGAAGAATCTTGAGGGGTGTAATGCTGTGTAGTCTAGCAGAAGTTAGCAGACATTTCAGAGGAACATACAGCCTGCATCTTCAGTACTGAAGAGTAAGCCAAGTAAGTATGCAGGCAGAAGCTTGTTCTCTCATCTCTTTGACCCTGAAGATAGAGGGCCTACATTCCTCAGGAACATCAGGAAACTTCCATCAGACTACATGGTATCACATCCCAGAAAAAAAAAGTACTATTCAAATTCTGATCAGTATCTTAGACCACCTCTGTGGTCTAGTGGTCAGTGGGTCTGGAACAGGGTCCACTCAGCCTCGTGATGATAATTGAGGAGCTATTTCAAGGAAATAGCTGCTCCGGTCTAGAAAATCGAAATTAACGGCCATGGGGATTTGTTGTGCTGACCACCTAAAGGCCCAGGAAATCACTGAAAATATCTATATGTAACTGGAATGATCACAACTGCAACATTGGTCATATAGCACAAGAAATATGCCACCAGGCAAAAAAGACCTTGATCAATACATTTTCTTATTTACAGTTCCCACTCCCATTAGTCTTTGGTGGTATAGGATAAACTGGAGCATCATACAACACCAGCTTCTATGAATGGTCATTTGTATGATTACTGCTATGTCACATGTAGTGGTGATTACAGGTGGGGTTTGGATTGTGTCTTTATTTACTATTTTACCATAACTCCGAACTACAAGCAATTAAAATGTTGCTAATCACATTTTAAAATAACTGCTGCAAATGCTAAGTCTTTTCAGTCTGCAGTGTCTTCACTAGTCATTTCCTGGCACAGGTTTCTAACGGTGGAGATCTGTCAGCGTCTGCACTCGTGTCATTCCTGACTGACTGTTTCACAACTGAACTACACTCCAAATTTGTCCCACTGATAACCCTTCGACAGGAACCACACAGAAAACAGTTCTACTGTTGTAGAGGCATGTTTACCACTGTTGCATAGCAACGGTTGCAGCATGGACTACAGAAAACAGCTCGTCTGTTGTTGCGGGCAATACCTAGCAACGGCCCCTGTTTACAGAATCACCACTTAGAAATGAGTCTAAATGCCACAATATTCATAAAATTTCAAACACCAGTATCTAGAGAACCCTCATATATTTTTAACCATTACTTATGAAGGTGAGTAATGTATGATTCAAAATCTTTCAGAGTTTCAAATACAAGCTCTGGATCAACACCATGATAGTGTTCAGTCACTTTCTTAGGATTCTGATGGACCAGTGCAGCATTCCATCCTGCCTTCACTGCACCTAGGTAATCAATTTCAGGCATGTTACCAACATGGAGGGCTTCATTTGGTTTTATACTTCCATTTCCAAGTTGACACAGTGCCAACCGAAATATTCGGGAATCTGGTTTTTCAAAACCAGCACAATATGACGTTATGATAAACTGAAAATGATGGTGCAAGTCCATAGCTTCAAGAACCGTTTCTAAACGTTCATCATAGTTTGATATAATTCCTAACGGTACACGTAATTTATTAAAATGATTAAGAAGTTCTTCTGCACCTTCCACTGTCTTCCAACACTCACATGTTTTATACAATTCTATAAGGTGATCACCAATAGTGTCGAAAATTGACACATTATATGCGTTTCCCTGCACAGTGTCTTGAAATGTCTTGTTGACCAGTAGTTTCCACCACTTTTCCCAACCCAGGCCTGTCCTTTGACCAAAATTTGGGTGACTGGTACTCATGTATCGCCAATGCTTTTTGAAATTTGCGCTTATCACATTTGGATCTACAATCACACCAAACTGCGCTCCAACGTCGGCATATTTTTCTGCCGGTGGTACTCGAAAGGTCAATAGTGTTTCTGTCACATCGAATGTTACTAACCTCAATCGACTGAACTGGTGCATTGCAGGAAAACAAAAACCAGATCGAAAATAGATATTCGTAACAAAAATATGCGTCTTCTTATAACTCCCGAACTTAACGCTTTCAAACAAGTATTTTCTGATCGTGCAAACACCACATAATCCAAAAACGTATCTCTTTACCACTATAATCACAGACTACTTCGCTAAATTATGATCGATTATGATTATAACCGGCGCTTGTTGTCTGTGATAATCGACAACATGCTTTAAAAATGGCGCGTAGTGTGTATCATAGGAATGGAGTGATTTGTGGATATACTTTGAGCAGGTTTTGTATCATTTTTTGGCTGTATGTTAAGAATTACGTTGCTCCTAAATGCTATGTATAATCGGGCTGAAAGAGTATTTGTGTGTTTCTTGTGTCTCAAGTTTTGCAGAAGAGGTATAGTTTGTTCCTTTATCATAATTAGTAATAGTAATGTGCCCATATTTTCTAGTTTCTATTCTCTTTTCTTTAACACAGTGGTACAGTAATAGATATGTGCCCATATATTCTAGTTTATATTTTCTTTAACACAGTGGTTAACTGCAAAACATATTGTGTTAATTTCAAGAGCGAGAGATGCTGCTATGGCTGTTGTTTGCCAACTGAATATGTTCAAATGGCTGTAAACAGTTTTTAGTAGCAGGATTTGAACTGAAGAATGTAACAGGATAGGTGTCAGGTCAGGTTCCTTTGGTCATAGTACTACTGTATATGTAGCTGTATTTCTTCCACATTAAGGAATGCCGAATTTATTTTTGTATATGTTGTCACATAGTATTTTATGTCTTCATGTTCCTTCACTGGGTGAAATGAAATCATAGGACTTTCTCTGTTCTGGTTTTGTAATTTAGTGACTGTAAAAATATGAAATCCAACATTTTAGTTAGGTAACAAAAGCTGAAATAATTGTAATATGATAAATTTATTGATGGAGATCATATATTAAGAATATTTTGTGCTATTATTATGTCATGTTTTTGTTGATACTGATTGAATATACCCATCATGTTTTCGTGAAATAAAGGTTTGACATTTATTGTTGGGTTGTGAATTTGATTTCAGTTAGCATGAAGAACCATGGAGGAAACACCAAAGTCTAAGCGACGTTCCAGACTTACAAAGGGTAGAGTAGTAAAAAATAAATCCAGCTTGAAAGGTAAGGAACTTAATACTAAATAACCTCTGCAGTTGTGTCACTATCATTAATTATTTTACAGACCTGTTATAACAGTTTCTGCTGATAAACATTTGTGTGTTTTGTAGAATGTACACCAACAAAGGCAGTACCTCCAAAAGATCATAGCACTCCATTGGACTGTAAGAAAGTTTCAAGTACTTCAGCAACAATAAGTGATGAACATAAAGATGTCACTGAGGATGAAGATGATGAATGTAGCCCATTTCACTTTTACTGCACACAGGATACGTTGGCTGTGGGGTGGGATTGTGGCTCCCCACAACAGAGACCCAGCAAAAGATTAGGTAAACAAAAGAAGTAATGAATTGTGTTTAACATATTTTATGATGTATATAACAACAGTGTTTAAAACTATTATTTTGGACTTTGTCCAGGATTCACCTTTATTGAAAATGCTGTATTTTGGAAATTGGTTCTGTTTCTGCCTTCAGATGAACAGGACAAGGAAGGAAACCTATTCTCTTGGGCCTCTTGGTAGAGGTACTCCCCCCTACCATGCTCCATGGTTTGAGAGTAGCTGTCGTGAGTAGCCCAGTAGAATAGAGTTTTTTAATGTCCTCTTTATCCAAAGACAAAAATGGAACCAGTTAAAGAAATATAATGGTTTCAGTAAACTTGGAGAATGGACGAAGTACAAAATAATGGATTTAAGTAAGAGACGTGTTGTCAAGTCACATGTTTCTCCATGGTGCTGCAGTATTCTGTGAAACATAAGAACTACATGCAGTAGCTATCACACAGCCTGGAGAAACAACTGAATGTGACAAACACAGCCATGTACTGGATTGGAAGTATTTCCAGGATTTACCAAGTAGGGGCATAGTGAATCACAGAAGAGTTATGGTAGTTCCACTGAAGCAGTTAAATGGGTTAATATGTAGTAATAACTGTAATAAATTCCTTTAATTTCAGAATCAAAAGTTAAGAGAAAACTCACTAAAGGAAATTCATTTACACAGAAGAAACAGAGCTTGAAATCATGTTCACCCATCGAACCATTACGTCCAAGAAGAAGATTTAACATAGAGAAACCGACTGGTGATCTTTCGGAGCTTATTCCACAGTTGCAGTTTGTAGCAGATCTTGTTAAAAAGATAAAAGGTAATAATTATATAAATTTGTCAGTGTAGTATAGAATACAGTAGGGTCTGGTTTGTGCCTGTGTGTGTTTGATGTCATTCTCGTGTCATTTCCATGTAAATTTGTATTTTCACATATGTATACAGGTGGAGCTCTGTGTTTTCAAAACAGTGTCATTTGTAGGATAAGAAAGTAACATAATTTACAGTTTTAAAAGAGATGAATGGTGAAGGGGATGATAAGATAAAAAATAGATGGATTCCCTGCTGAATTTTAGTGGGCTTTTTCCACTTGAGAAGAATATAACAGATTGAAGGGATAAGGTATAGTAAAGCTATCCCTGTAACAGGCTGTGGAGGCCCATAGGGTTGTGAGATGTTGAGGCTCCCACATTTTCTAGACAGTCGGCTCACAGATGGCGGTGATTTTGTCAGCCTTACATGCCGCCTGCCCTTCATCCCCCAGGAAGATTCCTGGTTCTCATTTCTGTTAGAGGCTGAGTCAACCCCAGGGAAATAGTGTGGTTGGAAGGATTAGGTCAACTGCAAAAATGCAATGACCTCATTGGGAATCAAACCCACGACTTACTAAGCATCTTAATGTACAGCATAACTCAAAATTTTGGAAATCAGTGTACTGAAATGGTCATATAATACATGTACAGTGAAACCCTCATTTAAAGTTCAGTTTCAGTCATCCCAAACCAATAAATCAAGTGTTAAATTATCTACTTTTAAGATTCTCCTCTGATTAACAAATCCACTACTCTGCAAAGAAAATTTAAATAAGGGCATCACTGATAATTTCATGTCAATAATTGAAAAATTTTTGTTCATGCTTTACCAACAGATCAGGATGATGGAACAACACAATGCGATGAAAGTTGTGCAACAGATGGTAGAAAAGAGGATGGTACAGTTAGTACTGTGATGAAGGCAGAAGGATGTAGTTCATTTTGCAGTAAGGAAGAAAATTTGGCTGTTAATGCACCAAAGAATGGAAAAGAACTGATTTCAAATGATAAACAAAAGGTGGAAAGGGCCCATATTGTGTCACCTCATCAAGACTTGGATTTGTTAAAAGAGAAGCAGCAAAACATAGGCTGTGAGACTTTTTCTGCATTGTTGGATGATGATGCAGATCAGTATATGCTGCGTTGCTCCCAGGAGGTAGAAGAAAACTTAAGTAAAAACATTACTGTTGTTTGTGGTGATAACTCAGAGCTGCTGTTACCTGATTACAAAAACAGTGAACTTTTTTCTGTAGAATCTAAAGTTAGAAGTCCAGATATTTGCAGACCAGATAAAAATAGTCCATTCCATGTTAAGCTTAATAGTAGTGGCTCTAAGAAAGCAAACAGTCCGAAAGTCGGAACTAAGTATTATGTACGAATTAAATCGGGAACACCAAAATATTCTAAAAATGAACATGGCCATTCTCGGTCTTCAGTTAACCATTCAGGTGCTACAGTGCGAATATGTCATACTAGAACTAACACAGAATCAGCAGTAATCAATTCTGTGCCTTCTAATACAAATGAGTTTGCATTTGATGACTCATTTGATGCTGTGATACAAAATTTATCAGAGGAGGATATTGAAATGTTGAGTCAGGGTCAGATCGTTGACAAAAAGAATGCAAGAAAGATAACTGGCACAAATATTTGTAAACCAACCTCTCAAAAAGTGGAGGACAAAACTGAGATTAACTGTAAGAGAGGGAGCATACAGAGATTTGCATCAGGACAGTTGTCTCCTACCTATAGACTGACAGGTAACAACCGACCACTTAATCAGGTTAACAGCAACAGGCAAATGAATAGTGTGAATCAAGGACCTGCACTGCGTGAAGTTTCTGCACCTAGGGTTAATAAAATGCAGTTTCTACTAAAAGTGCCCTCTGCGATGTGTAGTAATCGCAGGTTATCGGATTGCTCACGCCCAGATTCACCTGTTCAGTTCAGTGAGCCACATTTTAACAAAGACATACCACTTGTAAAGAATAAATTGTTTGTTACACAACAGAGACCAAGTGATAGTGCACATGTGAAGAATAGTGACGGTGTTCAGCCGAATTCCTCTGCCATCTCTAATTCACTGGCACGTAAGTATTATGTACGAATCAGATCTAGAAGCCTGGAATGTTCTAGATGTGAAAACTGTGCTTGTGGTTTTTCAGTCAATTGTTTGAGTGCTAGTGTTCGAAAATGTCATGGTCATCCATATTTATGTAGTAAACACAGTGAGGAACAGAGGCACAGTAAAAGGGCAGTAAAGGCCCCTTGCACCATCTTGGACACACTTTAACATGTAAGTCTACATGCAATATTTATCATCATATTTCCATTATTATTAGTATTGGCAGCTGGAATAGTGTAGTTGGTATAGCGACTGGTTACGGGCTGGAAGACCAAGGGATCAAAGTTCAAGTCCCAGTGGGGGCAAGAATTTTCACTTCTCCATGTTGTTCGGACTGGCTCTAGGGCTCACCTGGCCTCCTATCGAATGGGTACCAAGGGCTCATTACCCAGAGGTAAAGTGGCAGGGGCATGAAGCTGACCACTCACGTCCAGCTAGTGCCAAGTTCAAGGAAACATGGGTCTGTACATCCACCCCCCCACCCCCAATATGTCCTCATGGCATAGTGCTTTATGAGGCAAAGTGAACAAGTTTACCTTTACCTTACACTGTATTTAAGTTAATTTATGAGGTTTGTTCAAATGCAACATCTTGGGGGATTTTTCTGTGTGAAGGAGTAGAGGCCATTAGAACTAGTCCCCTTCGGGGGTTAAGGCAGCCATCCCATTGACACTAGCTGCTGGATGCCCTATGAGGAATCCCCTGGTTTGCTCTTGCAACCACTGCAACTTTGATATCTTCATCCCAACTCCCTTTCTTAAGGGGCTGATTGTATGGAAATCATGTGATGACAATGTTCTGCACAGTGCTCACCACATGGGGATGGATGTTGTATCATGATACGTCTCGTGAGGATGCCAAGACACTTTCTCTTGATGGTTGTATGAAGGTCTTGGAGGGTTCTGCAAAAGAACTGTGCTTTGATGGTGACATCAGGGTCCCTGGATGAACAGAGTGACAGCTGTCCTGTTTTGCACTTGAAATGCCAGTATTTAGTTGCATCAGTGCTTTCATGTACTCTGACACCCCTGTAGATTCTAAAGGGTTCTGATGTTGGTGAATAACACACAGAATTACTAGGTTTTTGGACTTTTTCCATCGTCCAGTATTCTAGAAAATGGAAAACATGACGTTTCAGAAACTGGATCTTGTCCAGTGATTGAGATTAGCTATTTTCTGAGTGGCCCAACTGAGCAGGTGTTCCCCCCTCACCTAAGGATGGAAACAGGTCCAGTTTCTGAAATGAAATGTTTTCTGTTTTCTGGAATACTAGATGATGGAAAAAGTCCAAAACCCCAGTAATTCTGACAAACTTGTTTTGCTGCACCATTGTCAGATTCTTGTGTGTTATGCATACAGCTGCATGATCACCTGTGGCTGGCCATATTTGCTAGAAGAGCATCAATTAGTTTTTATTTGAACAGCCTTCATTATTATTATTATTATTTAGTCTTTACTTTAAGGATGAGTTGTTAATTTACTTGGGTTGCTCACATTTGTAAGTTGTTCTGAAAGAGACTGTAATGATGTTACATATGCTTTGAGAGTTGCATATGTAATGCATGGCATTTTGCCAATAACATGGTTTCTGTACATCTTATATCATTTCTGAATCTTGGAATATGGCAGAAAAGATGGTCATGTTTTTCTCTGTTGGTGTCCACAGTTGTATTAAGGCAGAAATGGACAGACAGTTTCCATAAGTGCTTTGTGTGCAATATTTTTAGAAGTATAGTAAGTATAATTAGTGCTGTCCTACTGTTGGATTAAGTGTTATATCAGATTGAACAATGGTTTGGTACCCAAAATTACAAAAGGGGTAGATATTGAATTAATATTGTCACGTGTTGGGTATGTCACGCGACAAATAACTTTACGTGGGTATTGGATTTAGCGAATCTTTATTGAACATTCACTCTTACACACCGTACAATTATTATCACTTGTAGTGTCACTTGACTTCTGACCTAATATATCAATGCGACATCTCAACTATCCTTGGCCATGGCTAGATCTCAACTGTCTTCTGTCTGTATCGTATGGCGACTAGGTTCCACCTGTCCCTTGCTGTCTGTAGCTCTTGGCTTATGTAGGTGTTCTGCGGACTCAGTAGAGGACACCCCTCGCCAAGGTTCGATCTCACGTGTTCGGCAATCTGTTGCTTCAGGAACACTCCTTATACACTGGTAACGAGTTTTGTCTCATCCGTTGTTACTCAACGGCCTTCTGTTATTCATCTCCGGGGAAACGCGTTCGTTGTTTCGGCATTGTCTACGCAACGGCTTGCTGTTATTGCGTTACCATGGAAGTGCCTATTCCAAATATATGACAATATCTATGATATCAGTGCTGAATTACCTCCATTTAAGATTTTCTTCTGTTTGGTGTTCAAATTCATTGTTCCCAAAATAAAGCTTAAATAGGAATTCCAGTGTGATAAGAACTTTTTTTCTTCAGACCATTTTCATTACATATATGTTTCTTTCTTCGCCATGCTTGTTATACTTATCTTACAGTAAGAAGTAAGGGTAGAGTTATCCCAGTGCTTAATTAAGGACCACACCATGAAGACTTATGTGGGAGTGGAGGTGTAGTTGCTCCATTCTTGACCTCAGCTCTAGATGGAGGTGAGTGGTCAGCTTTACCCCCCTGTCACTTTGCCCCGTGGGGAAAAAGAAACCAATACCCATTTGATAGGACGTATGGTGGACCCCAGAGCCGGTCTGAATGTTATAGACAAGAGAAAAATCTTGCCTCTTTCTGGAATCGAACCCCAGCCATCCAAGCCAGTAGACCATTGCTATACCAACTGAGCTATTCCAGCTCTGCTTTCCTCACAGTAAACAAATAAAATAAAGAATGTTAGTTTGAAATATATCTTAAAATTCTCCTTTTTCTTTATGTTAGCTTTTATATGAAACTCAATTTAATATGACAGTAAAAATTGTTTGGTTGCACTTGTAAAATTGTGTTCTGTGTAAACATGAAGTAGCTCCTGAAGTCGACCAGTAACGATTATGTTCTGTGTTTCAGTTAATGTCGTGCCAAAATCATCACCACAAAAGTATACACCAGAGGAGATACAGAAGAAACGACTAGAAGCAATAAAGAAACTAGAAATGAAGAAGATGACCATGTTGTGTGAAAAGGATAAGCATTGTCATCTTTCTAAGGGTCCCTGAGCAGATAAGATGTGCACACCATATGTAACATAATATCATTTTGTACCACAAAGTGTGTTATGGTACAAGCTTTCATAACTTTCTGTACTTCAGCTGGTAACCTTCAGTTTCAGGTTTCATCCAAAATCAGTTGTTGGTCTTTATCTTACTATACATTGATTAATATCAGGGAAGAAATGCTAAGTTACTAAAAATCTTGCTTATTGGAAGATTTCACAGGATAATAGATACAAGTGCTGGAGAGGTGAAATGCGTACAATTTTACTGTATGAAAAATATATTAATTTTTAACTTGAAGCATGTATTTCTCACATATAGGAAACCTTTGTTCTGCCTGAAAGGTGACTAGAAAATACCAAATCTTTGTCTGTTAAAAAACATTGAACTATTTAGAAAGAAAACTGTGGGCATTTTTAAATTAGACTTAATGTAAGCACTGAACTCGTGTTTTCAGTAGTGAGTCTTCACCATTGTGTAACAGAAATACAGTACACCCTTAAGAGATGTTGGATTAGAGGTCCTTACAGTTGTGACTATGAATAGTACATTTGGGTTTTAATGCCATACGGTTCAGAAAAAATCCTGTTTTTCAGAGAAGCATATAGAACGTCTATCTTCACGATCGAAGAGTAAGCCAAAAACAAACCAGCAGCACCTCAGCTTGTCAACTGCTTCTGGTGTCTTGCTAGGCATACTCTTCAGTCTTGAAGATGTAGGCAGTATTATTCTGTGAAACACTGTGCTTTCTCTGGACTACACGGCATTCCAACCCATAATGCACTACACTTGTATCGTAACCAAAGTTATGGTGCTGCGGTTAGCATCTTTACCTTTATTTGGAAGGGGATCCTGTATCATAATTTTCTTCAATTGTTCAAGTTAAGTTCCATGATAATACTGTAAAATATTCAGTTCCCACTACTAACATGTTTTCATACTCACATTCTGTAAAGTTTTCCATCCTCTTGACCCATGTTTGGAGGCAGAGGTACTGCTTATTTTATGATATTGCCACAGACTAGTGTTTCCTCACATTTTCAATATTTTGCCTTTCATAAAGGTAAAGGTTTCAATCAGTGAGCAAAACTCTCTGACTGAGAGTCCAGTGCCTTATTTTGAGATGAACAGGTCCCTTTCCATGTGTTTGCGTATAGTTTTGTGCACAGTAGAAAATTTTTATCTCAAAAAGATTTCAAGGAATTGGGTTTGAGATGTAAAATTTTTGCAGGAAGTCTTTTTACATTTTCTTAATATCAGCTGTAAATTATTCTGATACTATTTTTATCCTATTTCTTTATGTCATTTGAAATGAATGCCATATGATAATTAGAAATGAAAGTTACTGAAAAATGTAATTGAAGTTTCAGTAAGTTTGCATTACATAATAATATAGAAACTGAGTTTTCATCTTATTCTGTGTATAGTATATCAGATACTGTAAATAAACAAGTTGCTAAAATGATGCTCCTAAGAAATAAATTGTAGTGTGTGGTTTGTATATACTCAGCTGATATTGTTCGCAGAGTAGCTTTCAGAAGAGTGCCTGAAGAAAATATACTTCACAGTTACACTGAAAAGAGATTATTAAATTGTGAAAACATTCCTATTGTTAAAGTATTATTATGTGTTATCTTGTTAAATTGCCCCGTAAAATAGAGATATGTTGTACAGTTCATCGTTGATACTGATTTCTTTAGGAGAATAGAATCACCTCTTCAAATATAAGATTAAAAAAGTCATACAGTAAAATTATAATTAAGCAAGAAAACTGTCATTTTGCATTCATCGACTATATGAATATAAGTGAGATTTTGTTGTATGTTATTTAATTTGCTTTCTGAATATTTGCAACAAGTTGGAAATATACCAGTGTATGTATATGCTTTAAGACTCAGTGAATGATATTAGATTTTCTGGGTAATTTTCTACTTAAATTTTACTTGATACTGGACTTGATCAATTATTGTAACAGGATTATAAGATTCATTTTCTGTGTAAGTAGAATCATTCTAGTGAATCTTATAAAATTATCCTTGGTACTGATTATATTGGTTTCTGAAATTGTATGAAGAGTTTAGTACTATTCTGAATTATTTTAGGAAGAGTCTGATTTCTATGAGGATCTGTTGTTCATGTGTTAAGTAATATATTACTTTCACTTTTTCAAGAAGAGAGAATTTCTGTTGTGTGTAATGCGAAATAAGTTAGGAGGTTAATTAAATGTGTTGCAGTGGTAGGTAAACATGTATCATGTGATAAATGTTGCATAATATTACAGTTCAAAAATTATATTTTGATTATGTTATTTTCATTATTTTAAATACAGTGCGACCTCTCATAAAGAATACAATCTTATGGGATGTGTCACCATGTCCCATGTGTTGTAACCCACATTCCTCCAAAATGTAGATGAACTACCGAACTACATGGTGTCATATCCCAGAAGATAGTACTGTTCATAGCCACCACTATGAGAACCTCAAATCCAGCATTTCTTTCTTAGTTCTAAAACCCTCATATTCTTTTCCAATCTGAATGTTATAGCAAATAAAGCAGATGTTTCACATGTCAACTAAATCTGATGAAATGTGCTGCAAGCTCTCAACCTGATGAGGCAGCTGTGTTTGCCTATTTATTCGTACACGAGAGGCCTCAAGGACAAAAAAAAACTGCTATTTTATTTCACAGGAACTACTTGAGCTAGAGTGATGGAACTTGAAATGTTTACTTATTTCTAATGTGACAGTAAGTGGAACTAAATTGATGCATTGGTAAAATTAATCACCAGATGCCAATGGTGGTGGCTAATTACAGGCAGATGCTTAAAACATGCAATAGACATAAAAAGAATATAAAGAGAAAATAATAAATCAACTGGGATTATAAAAATTAAAGATTCTCTATGGTAACTGTATTCCTATTTAAAGTATTAAAATACTGATTAGTGTTGTTACTACTGTTAGTAGTGTTGGCACATCTAGCTGAAGGGCTGGACATTGCACTGTTGATTATGGTGGAACTCTAAAAGTTTGATGTATGAAGACTAATGTAACCTTGATATACTGGCAGTTTTTTTTCCCCCCACATAAAAATTTAGAGGAAATGACATCAAGTCACAATTTCAAGAAAAGTCAGGCTGATGAAAGCAGCTGTAACATAAATTCTCTAATTTCTGTTGTGTAGTTTGAAAATTATTGGAATCTCTTGGGCTCTGACAGAATTAGAGCTGTGTATAGAACCTTAAGGCTCTCCATTGAAGAAAGGGTTTTGTTCTGAATTGAGTGAGGCGTAGAAGCTTTAGTGCTAAAAAGATACATGAGTAACATGTTGCTGGAAATGCAGTTTACTGTAAAGCTCAATACCAAGGTAGTTAACACAGTTAAGAACCAAAATTAAAACATTGCCAATATTGTAGTTAAAATGGATGCTGTTCATCTTACAGGTGAAAGAAAGAACACAAATGACAAGCCACTGTGAAGGCCTAAAATCAGTTAAAGAAATAACGCTGGTTTTCTGAATATTGAGGTCAGTGTAATTTTTAAAACATCAGTTCTTCACCACATAAATATTGTTTCTAAACATTTGCAGTCTATATTGACTTTTGTTGCTCTATAAATATTCAGAACATCACCAAATATTAGAAAAGTTGGGCATATACAGAATATCCTAGGGGGAAAGGTCAGTATTCTGGGAGGCCATAGTATCAGTCATTCTAAGCAAAGAAATGTATATGTACATGTCCTATTCAGAACGGTTTTCAAGCTAGAACTATTTCACTGTACAGATGAGCAACATACCATGTCCTCACACAAGTTTCAAAGGAAATAGCTGTATCTTGGAAACCGTTCAGAATAAGAGGCATGTACATACATATTTTTTGCTCAGAATGGCCAATATTGTGACCTCTCAGAATATCAGTAAAGTTGTCTTTGTGTTTAACTAATTAAACATTTCCAGAGGAGTGGATGTATAGATCCATATTTTCTGGACCTCGGCCCTAGTTAGAGGTGAGTGGTCAGCCCCAGTCACTTTACCGTTGAGGAAAGAGACCACAGTTCCCATTAGACAGGAGGCTGGGTGGACCCTAGAGCTGGTCTGGATGACATGAGGAAGAGAAAATTCTTGACCCTACCGGGACTGGAACTCCGTAAATGCAGTGGGGTGCAGGGTACAACCCCGTGGAAGGCCTATGCCAGACAATATAGAAAATGAGAAGAAATTTTCCAAGTGTGTGGACAAAAGGGGATCTAGATGATGATGATAATAATAATAATAATAATAATAATAATAATAATAATAATGTTGCATGACGCCTACAAATCGGAATAACGGAGCCAGAGCAGACGCCCATTGCTAGGCAACGGCTCTGTAAACGCATTCCCGTGGCAAAGCGGGTGCAAGCAATAATCTAAGAACTGCCGTTTATATGCAAAGGCGAGGTAAACACGCCTTTATAACTTTAGAGGAATTGTAAGGAAGCGGTGTTTTCTGTTGTGGGTGCCCCGAGGCTATAAACGAGAAGAACTGAAGGAGTCCCTAGAGAGAGAACCCATGTGGAGGAGGGGTCGAATACCTCCACCGTGACCCTGCGAGTCATTGGAGGCGACGAAAAGGGAAGTCTCAAATCTAAGAAAGTAAAATATATTCACGAGTCCCAAGAGACTCGGACCCGAGAAAGACTGCGTTGGCAAGGGCCAGCAGCATGTACAAAAGACAGACCCGTCCTCTCGTCAGAGAGGGCGCCCTACAAAAATAAGACCGTAACTGTCAAACAGTAATAAATATTTGGTCATGAGGTTCGACACCTAGACTTACCGACTGACTGTTTGTCGCAATGCGACTTTTGACTTTGACTTGAGTCCCTATGAGTCGGTAGTCGAAGGTGATTGAGAAGAAAGTAAAGGAATTAGACCGAAAAGAAGCCTTTATATGTGCTGTCGCGACAGTGAGACACCGTTGTCAGGATACGACTAGTGAAGACTAGGAACACTAGTGTGCGTGTAACGGTGAACTATAAAGTGTGGATATTAGCAATAGCGCTGTAATTGCCTGTAGTTCCGAGTTGTGTACACAAGCGGTCAAATGTCCAATCCAACCCCCGTCTATAGTCACCCAAATACGTGACTTACAGTTAATTTCGTTATTATTTGCGTACCAAGTGAACAGCTACAAGGCCAATAATAGTTCAGTTCAGTTCCTTTATTTCAGTGCTTGCCAACAGTAAGTGGCCTGTAACATGCAAACACTGAAAATATACTTAAAAACCTAGGCTAAGGCTAGAACTAGGACCGGAACTAATACTACTAATAAAAAAATAAGTAAAGAAACGAACATGACAGTCGAGTAATTATTAATGGTATTTCGTATTTTGGAAGCCATGTGATCATATCGGCGGGAGGGTCGGCAATGCTAATATTTTATATAGTGTTCATGCCGGAACAGTACCTCATATTGGTCCGCTAGTCACACCCTTTCCAAATTCATTATTTGATGCTAATAGTCTGAACCACTGAAGTGTCGTTAAATAGCCCATAAATAAAAAAGTAAGAACGGAATATAATAAGATTTTGAAGTATGAGTATGAGCCTCTGTAATCCATCACTTTGGAAGGCATAACATTTTCGCTTGAGATGTTTCCTATACTGGGTTAAAATGGCGGAATAGGCACAAGGCCGAGCTGTTTCCCCCCCCGACTCTGCCCCTTGTTCACTGGTGACACGTGTTTAAATCTTCACGCCTCTCTATACTAAATCAATCTGGGTCAAGTCCGCTTCACTCACTGTTGTCACGGCTTGTCTTCATACTCAACTCGCTGGTGCCGCTGACGCTACCATTTGTCGTGTGATATATCGCAAAAAATGTTAGAACCTTGAGACCGCCTGCTCTTCTAGGATGTGATGCCGTTTAGTTGCGTAGATATTCGCTCAAGTTTCGGAGAAACGCATCCTGCCTCCGTATCTTAGGCTTGATGCTTGTGTGTACTTATTGATTGGCCTAATTTTCGACCATGGAGATGGAGACAACACATTACTCGAAAACTTCGGTAAATTTTTACGCTTTGGATGTCTCTTAATTCGGCATTTGTGGTACCCGAATGGAGCTAGACCAAAGAACTTCTGTTACCACATGTGGTCAAAGCATGACGATACCAAAATAACTAAATAAGCATTCGTGACATAATGTGTTAGTCCTCTTACACAATTTTACGTAACATGGTACAGTGTCTGCGCTTACATTAACTACCAACTCCAGCATCGCTTACTGGTCTTTTTGAAGCCATATTTATGGGCCGTCCAGCAAACTACTCGTGCAGAATCATGTAATTCCGAGGTCCGACCTGTACTAGACTACACGGTGTTACATCGTAGAAGATAATGCTATTTATATCCTCCCTCGCGAGAACTTCAAATCCAATGCAGGAAATACGAATTGAAAAACAAAAATGAGAAAGTAAAATTTCTCTCTTCAGGGATATACCGGCGTGTATTCCGTTGAAAGTAAACTGACGTCTCGGACGAACATGTTGCGTCATATTTAGGGTTAGTTAATAAGCCAAAACAAGAAAATAACATGAAGAAGGTAGCAAGCAAAGCAGAGCTTGTTACATGCTACATACTTGGCTTCTTCGATCCTAAGGATTGCGACATGTCCTTCCGAAACGTCAGTTGGCTTTCAACGGAATGTACAGCGTTATATCTCAGAAAATAGAACTCTTCTTAACCTCTGCTGTGAAAATCTTAAATCCTGCAGAAGGGAAAATAACTTCTGCGGCTCTGGTCTTGCTACACTATAATCGGAAAGGAAGACATAAATGAAAAGCTAACAGGAAAATAAATGAATTTTCCTTCTATGTTGACATCGTTGGGAAGATATATGATATCCGTGCACTAAAAATTGCTTGATGTCTCTAAAAATTCCATTAATTCTGAGTCGATTATCAGAATTCTTCTGACGACGAGGTTTTACTTTCCCTTCTCAAATAAATATTTTAATGAATTTACGCATGTGGATCTTATAGATACGGCGATGTGCCGGGAAAATATTTGAGATATCTAAAAATAGATATTGAAACAAAATGATGAAAATTAATTCTTCAGATGTCAATTTCAGCAACATTAGTTGTGTGCTAAACGAACGCATGGTCCATTTATGGAATTTAAGAGGCTTAAAGCTCACTGCTGTTGAAAGTGATATGTGTGGACTTTTGAATGAGAGGAAATACACGAAAGCGTGCTATCCCTATGCGTCACCTTTAATAAATAATTCGTAGAACGAAAGTTCTGGAATGCCAATCATATGCCCGCTGACACATTAATTTCCCCGAGAGGATTTATTGGTGCCCGCGGAAGCTTTAATATGTTCATAATAATTTATTAATTTTTTGATGATCATTATTATCATCACAGCGTCAAGACCGGCTCTGGGGTTATCCAGCCTCGTATCTAATGGATTCGGGGAGCTATTTCCCTAGGGACAAAGCGGTCGGAGTATTGAGTCACTCTTCTCCATCTAGCGCCGGGGTTAAGAATGCATGGAACTATACCTCCACTCTCCATATGCCTTCATAGCGTG